TTAACAGTTTACAAGTGATGGTTTTGATTATGAAAACGGGGAGCGACATCGGCATGCATTGCATTCCCATTGTATTATGTTACTTATGTTGAGATTGATTATTATGTTGGGGTTTCCCTACATGGCCTGATCCCCATTCCCATTGCTCTATTCTATATTTAGATTCACGGGGACACAAGAAGCGTGTCTTAAGTGCTACCTACTGAGCAATCCGCTCACCCCATTATAATTATCATTTTTCAGATTACGGAAAGGAACCGGCGGATGAAAATCCACCCCAATTATGACGGAGTGATCGAAGTTCACTATTTTGTCATTTTGTATTTTGGCCATTCTCTTGTATACTCAATGTCTTGGAAATGTAATCAGTGTTAACATTTATGGCCATGTAATTTAAGAATGAAGCTTACCTTTTATTTGATGTATATGAAACTGATGGAATCATTGTATATGTATAAATTTCCATGAAACTATACTAGGTGTCATAGTACATCGGTTGTGTGATGATATTCTACTTCATGGCCGTAGAATGACCCATTTTAGATTGTTTTGTTCAAGTTCGGAGCATTCTGAAGTCTTCAGCTCAGTTTTCTTTTATTTCTATTAGTGCAGCATCTCAGTAACAAGTTCTAGGCTCGGAAGAGCCATTTCGGTCGACCGAAATGGCACATCGGTTGACCGAACCACCTGCAGACTCTCAGCATCTCCCTCTTCGGTCGACCGAAATGGGGTTCGGTCGACCGAACTGTTTTTAGGCTCTCGGGATCTCTTGTTTCGGTCGACCGAAATGGGGTTCGGTCGACCGAACCACCCTCTCACTCTCGGGATCTCACTCTTGGCCTTCATGTTTTGAAAAGGGCTTGCTTCGGTCGACCAAAACTCCACTTCGGTCGACCGAAATGCATTTGTTGGCCCACTTTGCTCTTCTCTCGATCTTCCTCTACTCTCGACTCTTGGGAATTTGTTTTGATCATTTAGGAGAGCCTAGTTTGATCCTAAGGATGACGTTTTGACGCTAAAATGGATGAGTTTGACCTAGGTGACCTTAGGGTATAGTAAGTACCCAGCTAACAGTTCGGGCCTTCGGGTTCAGGTCGTTACAAATTTGGTGACTTATGATTATGAAGTCGTAAGAAGATTCATTGTTTAATTATCTTGAGGTTGTTGAATGTAATGATTGTCGAATAGTGCGGTTGGTGGTCGCTTGTACTGTTAGGTGATGATGTAGTTAAGTATTTGGTAGCAAGTATTTGATTTGTCAGGGATGTATTGATTAGAGTTGAAATTGATTGAGAGATGGATGGGATTCTTTGTTTGTGGTTTTGTGTGTGTTCTTTAGAGGATGAGTTATGATTGGATGTAGTCTTAATTTATGATTTGGTAACCGTTTTTCTTTTGGGCTAGGAGCTTTTCGTGGCAGTGTTGAGTGGATCGATGTCCGTTATGAGTTAGGTGTATGGTCTGGTTGGTCTTGTGTTATGATGTGGTGAGAGTTGGTTAACCGCAGTGGTTTCTGTGGCGGTATTAGTGGCACCCGATGTCAAAGGTAATAATGTCGTTGAGTTCATAGTCTTGGAGTTATGTGAGGTGTTCTTCGAGAGTGTGTGACTGTGGGCCTTCTTCATAAGGAGGGTAGATTTCGAGGACGAAATCTCTTTAAGGAGGGTAGATTGTGATGTTTCTGATTTTCAGCATTTTTCAATTTTCCAGAAATTTTGTCGCCGTAAGGGTATTTCGGTCTTTTCACGTTTCGCGTATAGGTATTTTAGTTAAGTCCACTTGCATTTCGTATATTTTATTTTATGAGATTTATGTGGCATTTACTTGGTGGTGTATTATATGTATATAGTTGGTGAAAAACAAAAGTAAAGGAAAAAGGAAAAGTCAAAGGTTGGTGGTGGGACCCACCACCATTGTTTAAGTGGTCTAAAGACCACCTTTGCTCCTTCATTTTTCTCTCTCACTCTCGTAACTTCTTTGTCTCTCTCATTTCTCTTTTTTTTTTTCTTTTCTTTTTGAGAAGCAAACTTTGAAGCTTGATTCCATTCTCATTTCTTGGTGATTTTGAGTGTCGTTTAAGGCGAAACGGAGAGCACGACGAGTTCTACGCGTGAGTACCAACAATTTCAGATTTGGTGCTTCCTTTGGATTCTGAAAATCTAGACCCATTTCGAGGGTTTTGCTCAAATTCGAGGTAGGGGCCCTTAATCCATGAAATCTTGTGCTTTAGTGAGTTGATCTACTTGATTTGTGTCTTAGAATGCTTAATTATGTTAATTATAGTTTAAATTGAATTGATTGAGATATGTGAACATGTGAGAATGTGTGTTAAATAGGTTGTATGAAAAGCATGCTTATTTGTTGAGTTCCTATGTCTATTATGTTGTTAACATGCTATAAATGATGTATGAGAACATGCTTAATTGTGTTGTGAGAAATTTCTTACTATCATTGTAATAAAAGTATGAGACACATATGCACATCATTGGGTTTACATGGAAGGAATCGTTTTGAATTGAAAAAAAAAAAAAAAAAAAAAAAAAAAAAAAAAAAAAAAAAGGAGGTATTTTAGGGAAGAAGTTTGATTAAAGTATTTTGTGAAAACCCGGTCGCCGCGGGGGTACCAAAGGGCCGGAAGGTTAATATAGCCTAGAGGGAACTAGGGAGATTGTCTTTACGTGGTTGAGCTAGTTGGGCCCCATAATGACGCCGCGGGGGTACCAAGGGTCAGGGACACTAGCCAATCCTTCTCTCGTGTCGCTGCGGGGTTACCAAAGGGCGAGTTATATTAACAGTTTACAAGTGATGGTTTTGATTATGAAAACGGGGAGCGACATCGGCATGCATTGCATTCCCATTGTATTATGTTACTTATGTTAAGATTGATTATTATGTTGGGGTTTCCCTACATGGCCTGATCCCCATTCCTATTGCTCTATTCTATGTTTAGATTCACGGGGACATAAGAAGCGTGTCTTAAGTGCTACCTACTGAGTAATCCGCTCACCCTATTATAATTATCATTTTTCAGGTTACGGAAAGGAACCGGCGGATGAAAATCCACCCCAATTATGACGGAGTGATCGAAGTTCACTATTTTGTCACTTTGTATTTTGGCCATTCTCTTGTATACTCAATGTCTTGGAAATGTAATTAGTGTTAACATTTATGGCCATGTGATTTAAGAATGAAGCTTACCTTTTATTTGATGTATATGAAAGTGATGGAATCATTAATTGTATATGTATAAATTTCCATGAAACTGTACTAGGTGTCATAGTACATCGGTTGTGTGATGATATTCTACTTCATGGCCGTAGAATGACCCATTTTAGATTATTTTGTTCAAGTTCGGAGCATTCTGAAGTCTTCATCTCAGTTTTCTTTCATTTCTATTAGTGCAGCATCTCAGTAATAGGTTCTAGGCTCGGAAGAGCCATTTCGGTCAACCGAAATGGCACATCGGTCGACCAAACCACCTGCAGACTCTTAGCATCTCCCTCTTCGGTCGACCGAAATGGGGTTCGGTCGACCGAACTATTTTCAGGCTCTCGGGATCTCCTGTTTCGGTCGACCGAAATGGGGTTCGGTCGACCGAACCACCCTCTCACTCTCGGGATCTCACTCTTGGCCTTCATGTTTTGAAAAGGGCTTGCTTCGGTCGACCGAAGCTCCACTTCGGTCGACCGAAATGCATTTGTTGGCCCACTTTGCTCTTCTTTCCATGTTCCTTTACTCTCGACTCTTGGGAATTTGTTTTGAGCCCTTATGGAACTTAATGATGATAAAAAAAGGTGACGTTTGACGCTAGAAATGATGAGATTGACCTAGTGATCTCGGGTTCGAGTCAGGACCCGGTTAACGGTTCGGACCTCCGGGTTTGGGTCGTTACAAATATGTCCAGCCAAAACTATATATATATAGGTCCTGGTTCGGGGTCCTACTGGACCGGCCCGGCCCGGCCCAAACCGAACCATTTATATATATATATATATATATATATATATATATATATATATATATATATATATATAAATGGTTCGGTTTGGGCCGGGCCGGTCCAGTAGGACCCCAAACCAGGACCAGACTGTAAAATTACGGTTTATTAATTTTGGGCCCAAGACCGGACCAAACCGCTATACAACTAGTCCAAATCGTCCAGTTCAGTTCGGTCCGGTCCGATTTTTCAGTTTATCGGATTTTTTGAGCACCCCTAATTGTGAGCATAATAGAAATGTGTTTTCTGCACTTATCCTAATTATTAATCAATTAAGTTTATTTGATATTACAATTTAAGGTAAATCACATCCCATATTTGGGTTAAAGACAAGTAGATACAAGGTAGACACGTTTTGGACAATGACACATTTCAAGTTTGGTAAATTGAACAATGACACCCCAAATCAAATTAAAAGTACCTTGTTACCTTTTGACTTATGAAATTTTCATTTTAACTTTCTCAAAGCATTGGTCAATCATTATAGGTAGTTTGGATAAATGAATAGTGTTTTTTTCTTATTCACATTAAATTTTGATCAAAGTTCATAAATTTGAAAAGTGTTGCATTTGATTCCATCTCTAAGTAATAAGACCTCCCAAAATTCTTCTTCTGTTTTTTTTTTTTTTTTATGTATAATTTTCTCTTAATAAAATTGGTAAGTACTGGTCCATTATAACTAAAAAAAAAAAAAATTCATCTGTAAGTAGCTCCATGGGAACTTCCATTTTACTCAAAAGGGAATTGGGACTGCTGATACGGGCCTTTTTTACTACCGTTTATTCCGGGAAGTTTCCAGGTTTATGGGGGGAAGCTGCACTGAATTTTCTTTTCATTGTGTACGAAGGTTTAACTAGACAAAGCAAATGGACTCTTTATAAATAGAAGCGAGCTCGGTGACGGTATATGCATGCTCAATCGGCATGCATATTCAACAGCCATATATATGTGCACACATATAAAGCAATCTACTTCAACTACCTATAACTGTAGTTGTCTTAGAATGGATGAGAGGTTGAGGGCGGCTGCTCAAGAGGGAAACATCCAACTTTTGTACACATTAATTCAAGAGGATCCAAATATTTTGGAGCGCAATATGGATGAGAATTTGTTAGCTGATACTCCTTTACATGTGGCTGCATCAACGGGTAACCTTCAATTTGCAGCAGAAGTCATGAAGTTGAAGCCGTCATATGCCAGGAAGCTCAACCCACGTGGCCTTAGCCCAATTCACGTTGCTCTACGAAGTAGTGGGGATGATCGCGTGGTCGAGTGGTTTGTCTCTGTTGATAGCAACTTGGTCCGTGATAAAGGAGGAGATGAGGGCATGACTTCTTTGCATTATGTGATTGCTCAAGGAAATGTTAATCTTTTGAGATCTTTTCTACTGTCTTGCCCAGACTCTATTGAAGATTTGACAACGAAACGTGAAACTGCCCTGCATATTGCCCTAAAATACTACGTTCCCAGGATTTTTGAGGCTTTGGTGGGATGGCTAAAGAAGGTCGACAAGGAAGACATCTTAAACTGCCCAGATGATGATGGCAACACCATCTTGCATATGGCCATATCCAAGAATCAAACTCAGGCAAGGGTACTCTTAATTATATATACAACCTGTCACGGTGATTTATCATATTCTCTGTGGTGTTCTTTTAGAATTCTTTTAGTTGTATATATATGCAGGCATATTAATTGGAGTATATATATATTAACTAATGCCTTGATAAGATATATATATATATATATCCACTGTGCAATCAGGCTGTGAGATTGTTATTAGGCAGAGAAATGATTAGAAAGATCAAGGTAAATGCGAAGAATGATATGGGCTTAACAGCTTTGGACATCTTTCAACTTCCAATGGAATTGGACATCAACACAGAGATCGGAGATATGCTATGCCGAGCTAAAGCATTGAGAGGAATATTTATTAAACATGATGATTCCCTTGAAGAATTAGATAAATTAGACAAGTACTGTTCTGGACTGGGTGCAAACAAGGACATGTCTCAGGCGGTATTGACTGTGGCCGTACTAATTGCACAGCCACATTCCAAGCTGCGCTCAGCCCACCTGGTGGAATCTGGCAAGATGACAGAGGACCACATTTTGTAGGGAAGTCAACAATGACACAGGTGCAGTTCGATGTTTTCTATTTCTGGAACAGTGTTACCTTTTATGCGTCCATGAGCACAATCCGTCTCCACACGGAAGGACATTTTCTACTAAATATGTCCCAACTATTTCTCAGTGCCACCTATTGTTGCTCTGTGCTCCTTATCGCGCCCTACACTATACTCAGGATATTCTTAGACCTATTGTTGTTTCATTACTTTGGATTTTCCTTGATGTGCTTCGTCATCCGTACAGAACAAATCAAAGTACCATCCATCTTCCGAAAAAAGAAATTTGAAATACGATACATTCCTATCTTCCAATTTATAATATTTGCTATTATATATGTCGTTGCCATGTCAGCTACGTATCCCCCAAATTTTTATGTTAGATAATTTTGTAAGAAAAAACAATCAAGAATCTTGTCATTTCATTTTGAGATGATATTAATAAAGTAGTTACGATATGGATGTGATTGATAGACATTACTAGTCATACTCTTCTTTTCTATTTTTATTTTTATTGCGTTATCACCATCAATTGCTTGCCTCTTTAGTTATGCTCAGCTAGAACCACAATTGCTTGCCTATTTAGTTATTTATTCATTATGGGCGAGGTAACCTTAATTATGACAGACTAGAAACAGAATTTCACTGCCAAAATTTTAATCAAGACAAGCTTAGGTATTATATATAAAGGTCCTTTTGAACAAACCGTTCGTTTCTGAATTTCAATTTGAATTCATTTTTAAAGTGTAAAATTGATTCACCAAGTTGTACACTAATGTCAAGTGATTTTAGGATAATATATATATATTTTTTATTTCTGTTCTCACTGGTTAAATGTTTAATTATCTGTCTATGAAGAAGTAATTTTGACAGGAAAAAATATCACAAAGTTTATAAAGAAATATTGTTAATTAATATGTAATATGTAATGTTTCTGATTTTTATTGTTTTCCATTTTTTGGATTTTTTGATTTTTTTTTGGATTATTTCAATCTTTGTCTCGTTTTGCGTACCGAATACCGTATGCTGTGACGGGAGTGTTTGAGGGTTGTTTGGGGCATTCCTTTGAATTCAGAACTCTTGATAATAATTGTTTGCCATTTCGACATTTTTTCTATTTTTAAACCGAGAGGTCACAGGTAAGACCCGTAACCGAATTTGTGATGCACAAGTATTATTTTTCTTGTCCATTGCATTTCATATATCATTATTTGATATATAATTATGTATGTACATGTTTAATTATGTGAGTGTATGGTGTTTATGTATATATATATATTGATTAATGTTAAAAGTTATTATATATGTCGTGGGACCGCCATTCTTTTCTTACTTAAATGACTTAAGGGTCATTACAAACCCTTGTATTTCTCCCCCTCTGCTACGTTTTCTCTCTCTCTCTCTCTCCCTCTGACTTTTTCTTTTTCTTTTTCTTTTATAACTTCAAACTTTGATTTCTTTCAAATCTTTAAGAATTTGATCTTGCCACTTTAGACAAAGTTGATGAGCGCGTTAAGATCTTCATTTTGATAGGAGCAAAGCTCAAGTTGGCCACCATTTGGGATTTCGAATATTGAATACAATTTGGGGCTTTTTCTTTTAATTGAGGTAGGAGTTCTCTAATCCACAATTTCTTGAGTTTCTTGTGAATTTTTCCCTTTAATTTGAGTTTGAGCATGCTTAATTTTAATTATCTTAATTATGTTTTGTTGTGGTTATTTGTATTTAAAGTGATAAGTGTATGTTATGTGTTAATTGAGTTAAAAGTATAATGACATTCTATTTTGTGGTGTAGAAGCATGCTTAGTGTGAATGTATTAAAGGCCCTATGATTTTCAATTTATATGAAAAATGATGTTTTGGTTATAATAATAAACGTGTAGAATTTCTTTTAAATATGAAACCCTGATGTTGATGGAATTTTATTGTTGAATGGGTATTTGATGGCATGAAGCATTCATGTATTCCATTGAGAAAGGAAAAAGGGAAAAGTGTTTTTGAAAAGCAAAAGAAATTATTTTGGTGGACAAAGTTTTTGAAAAGGGTTTGCAAAAACCCGAACGTCTAGGAGTTGCCTAGTGGTCCATGGCGTTAGTGTGGTCTAGAGGGGATTAGGGAGAGACCCTAGCGTGGTTGAGCTATCTAGGCCGGATACAACACCTTAGAGTTGTCTTGTGGTCGTGGATAGTTAGTCAATCCTCCTCTCGTGACGCCTTGGAGTCACTTTGGGTCGGATTGCACTAACGATTTGAAAAGTGAAATGGTATTGTTTCGAAAAATGAAAAACGACATTGCATAGCATGACATTTCATCGGCATGTATTGCACGCTATACAACAGAAAATCTATAAAAAAATAATAATAATAAAAAGGATCACTAATTGAACATAAATATAGCAATTATGGCTAACCGTCTTTTTAGGAAAGTTATACTAATCAAGAGGTATGCTGTTTGCCGTTTCCTCTAAACCCAAGATAGAGAAACCCTCTCGCTTCTTGTTCTCCAAGAAAATTTTCACAGAACTTACTGGACTTCTATAATGGGAACCCACTTCTCTGCTGTCACACTGAAAACAACAACGCTTGTTGATAAAATATTAAGCATTATTGCAAAATAAAGTTATTTGAAAACATAAAAAGAACAGAATTGACGAAAGAGAAATCCTTTTAACACATTGTTATGGACTTATTGTAATACAAATCAGCCATCAATCTCTCATTCCTTCCCTTCAATTGAAGGAGAAATCCTTTTATTAACCATGAAAGAGTGTTCCAAACCTCAAAAGCCAGGATTACAAACATGCTGTCTTCTAAATATCGTATTCAGATCGATTTCATGCAAGCAAACATGACTCCGATGTAAAACACAATCGGTATGCAACAAAGTGCCCATGGAAGTAGTAAACATGCAAAGTTATAGAACAAATGGCAGAGAGCTTTATCAAAACCTGTAGTATATTTGCATCCGCAATGGCTAAATTAACCAGCTGCTTTAAAAACCTGCTTGGAATCATGATTGAAATAGAAAATATGGGATGTATGAAACTGTAAAGACTCCTGAGACAATAATAGCAAGGAGGGAGGGAGAAGAAAAGGATATTTTTGAGTACATGGAGGAGAGAATGTAATTCTGAGTCCATATAACAAACCTCGCATGTCCGTGCTAATCCAGCAAGGTTAGGTATAAGATCAAGTAGTGATGCGTCCCAAATATTTCTCTGTGCCACCTATTGTTTCTCTTTGGTCCTTATTAGACCGATCGTAGGCCACATCCACCTTGTAAACGTGGTTTAAGAGTTTAGCATCATATATGTTTACTCAATTGTTGTTTTTTGTCTTGGCATTTCCAGATGTTTCTCGCTTGCAGAAGTACTCCCTTCGTCTTGCTGAACTAACTGTTGTGCAATACACCTCCGGGAAAAATATAATACCATACGTTGTCTTCCTCCAAGTGATACCATTTGTTCCTATTTTTCTCGTTCACGTCTTCCTTTTTTGTTGGCTTAAATTTCTGGTTGTCTTAAAAGAAAATGGTAATGGTGGCATACCTGCAGCTCCAAGACTGTAGAAGTCTAATGATATTTGTGGGAAGAGAGCCAGGAATCATTTCCTTGTAAAAGTCCACACACACACACCTATTAATGAGCTACAACTCTTGTTAAATAAGTTTTCCATATATGATTTAAAAGGTTTGTTACATTGTTTTATGTCATACCAATTATTGCACCATATATATATATATATATATATATATATATATATATATATATATATTCTGTATATATAAACTCTCCATTACTATTTTGGTTGAATGCCTGGTCACCAGGCACGGACCCCATTGGATTTTTTCTATATGCATTCCTACTCATACTTTTTGTTAAAATTTTGAAAATGTCTCCTCTCAATTTGTAAAATTTTTAAAATATTCTCTATTAATTGATAAAAATACCACACTTCACATCGTGCCCCCACTGACTTTTTAATTTGCATCTAAAAATAATAATCTCTTTTTCACTCTCTACTACCAGCTACATTTATGGTTCAATTTTTTTATTCTTTAACAACGCCCCCTTCAAAAAAAATCTTTGGTCCATCACTGCTGGTCGCCATCATATATCTACTATGCTAGAATCATAATTTATGTATGCCATCTTCAATTTAAGTAAAACTCAATTATGAAATATTTACTTACATGTTTGCCCCTTGTTAGAATTACAGAGAGTTGGATGTAACAAACTATTTTCATGACAACATTTAATATAAGATGTTAGAAACACAATTCCACTGGAAAAATTTTAATCAAGACGAGCTTAATTATTATATATAACCAAGAAATTTTTTACAAAAGATGGTGACCGCAAAGAGTTCAGCTCAAGTGCTCACTTGGGTTTGATTTTGGAACTTTGATTGGTGCTTCCTTTCTTTGACTTTAAATTTGAATATGTATCATTAACAAAAATAATATAAATAATACCAAAGAAGACCTAAAACGTAAGAGCTGGAGGTGTTTAAAATAGACTTGGAAGCTTATACAATTTTATAAAGTCCAGATGGGATTTACTTCATATTCTATTAGCACATAGAATGGCCAAACACCCACTCGATCAAGTGAATCATAGTGGAAGTATGAATCAATGGTTTATCACCTATTATGTTGTAATGTCTGTGTATTTATGTGCATAGGTGTATATATAATTGTGTGTATGTATATGTGTATTATGTTGTGTTATGGCTCAAATTTAAGCAAAAAGTTAAACGAAAAAGAAAATAAAAGGTGGTGAGACCTACCATTAAACCAACTAAGGGCCAAGAGACCACAAATGGTCTCATTTCTCTCCTTCTCTCCCGTGCGCCTCTCTCTTCCCCTCTTCCTCTCTGTTTTTCTTTTCATTTTGATTTCCAAAACTTTGAAGCAAGATCTTGATCTCATTTCTTATCGAAATTGAGTGCCGTTTGAGGCAAAACGAAGCTCGTGTCAAGCTCTACACATCCA